TAGAAAATTTTTAAAAGTTTTAAAAACTATTAAAATTTTATATGAAAGAATTTTTAACTAAAAATTTCAATTATATTCACTTTAATTATTAATTTTTTAATTTTTTAAATTAGCAATCAAAACTCAAATCATTTAAAATTAGTTTGATTTGATTTTTAATCAAACCATATTCATTGGTTATTATTTCATCGGCTTTTAAATTTTTTTGTGTTGCAGATTTTTAACTCACCCCTTAAGGCCAATATCATTTGACAATTTTAACCTGAATTTTAAATATAAAAAATCAATTTTGTTGATTCCGTGTAATTTTTTTGGGGCGAAATTGAGTGTCCAACTAGCGCCATCTGAAAAAGGCCTGGCCCTTGGAAATGGAGAGACCAAATGATTAACACGGTTACACGGGTCTGCCCCGTAAGACTTTCCTACCCACCATCGCCGTGGCCCAAGTAACAAACTTTTGGGGTTGCCACAATAGGCCCATTTATACTTTTATCCATCAGGTGTGAGCATTTTCAAGAATAGGTGGTGTAAGAGTTATATTTAACTAGATAGTTAATCTAAACATTAAATTATAGAAATACAATTATACAACATATTAACATCATAAATAACAAAAATGATAGTACTAATAAGGCAACTAAGATGTAAACCTAAGTTGTTGCCACCTTAGAGGATAGAGAGGTCTAAGAGAGGAGCTTTTGTTTTTTGTTTTTGTTTATATAAGAGGGACGATTCAGAATTACATTATTTTTTAATTAAGTTAATTAGGTTATATTGTACAATTATAAAACAAAAATAAAATAAGAAAATGATAACTAATACAATTAATATTATAGTACAACAATTAAAAATATATTATACTATAAATTTAAGAAAAGTGCAACAAGAAAAGAAAATTTCAAAATACAATTTGTATACCAAATAGAATTTGTTAATTATATTTTTATTTTATCAAAAAGTTCAAAAAATATATTTACCAAGAAAATAAATGGGTAAAAATTCTATATTATTTAATTAAATTATTTTTTAATCAAGTAGTTTGGTTGATTTAAAGGTAAAAATATTGCAAACCAAACTAATTATATCAATTTTTTAATTTTACAATCCAAACCAACCTAAATTGATGTTAGTTTGGATTTAATTTTAATCAGATTAGGTCTATTTCGGTTAGATTAATCAATTTGAATTAAATAAGAGCAACACTACCAATTTGAATGTAATGAAATATTTTCCGGTTAAGTTTAATTGCAAATATTGTCCATATTCCTTTAACTTTTCAGCCCAAATCCATCTGTTAATTATGTGCACACTTGTTGATTTTGGTCTACAAATTGCAGCTGGTAAAGTGTATCAGAAGATGATAGGAGTAGGACTTCCTCTAAGCGTAGGAAAGATGGCATTCAACAGAAACTGAAAGAGAAGATAAAACCTCTCTTAGATCTTAAGTCATATTATAGCATTTGCATATTTCAATTGTGTATTCATATATAGAAGCAGGGGTTATCACTTCAATTAGTCTTCTATACCAGTCGGGTTTCAATTCAGTATCACTTCAAGGTAAGTAGCCTTTTTCAGCCGTGGAATATTTGAAAGTCAGTACCAAAAACTAGCTACACAATACTGTGATTCTATTGTCAATATCAATTAAGCGTCAGTTTTGGTGTAACCATTGGACATAGTTACATAGACCTGCTCTTTTCATTACTTGAAATTAGAAAGACGCGCGTTTAGCACATCCAAGAACTTCTGCCAAATAAATACCATCTGACCTCCATAAATAAGGTAACCTGCTGCAAGTGACCTTTAACATTTGCATATTTTGTTTGTCTTCATTTTCCTCTGAGTTGCGCTACCAATACCAGGAGAAGTAATCATTTTAGAATACTCCAAAAAAGGTCAATAGACACACAGTGTACCAATTCCAAATTTAGTCAGGTTATGTGTGCTAGATTCTGAAGATTTTATTCCTTATTATGAGAATGTGCTTATATGTTGCTTTAGATTCACGATTCTTTTTAATATTTTATGGCCCTCTAATCACTTAATCAACTTGTCTCAATTATTTTTTCTCCTTTGCATTCATCTCAAATTTTAAATATGAGAAATTTGAGATGAAAGCTCCAAGTTTTTTTTTTTTTTGAAAAGCAAATGAATTTTATTAAGAATATAAAGGGTACTCAAATCCATAAACATCAGTACATGAAATTACATGTAGATATTGTGGTCAAAACAAAATCACCCCAACAGTCCAAAAAAGAGACTCAGAAAGCTCCAAGTTTAACCCTGCCGAGGATATTGACAAGATATTCTTAATTTTTTTTATATAATTTTTCTATGCATTACCACTTTGATTACTATATGATTTAAAGAATAAATATATATAATATTAAGATATTATAAATTTTAATAAAATAAAAAATTAATTAATAAGTAACATATAAAATTATATAAAAAATTTATAAAAAATTATCTTTCAATCAATCATTTTCCTATATTTACCCCAAAAAAAAAAATCATTTTCCTATTAATTACATTCTGGTACAGTGCATGTGTACCATTTCTATTGGAAAGAAACAAAATTTAAATCCCAATCAATCATTTTCCTATTGATTACATTACGGTACAGTGCATGTGATCCAATTCCATTGGAAAGACAACAAAATTTAAATCCAAACTTAATTAGGATTAGCGCTTGGGGCTGTAAACAATCATCTAGTTAAATCTGGAATTTTTTTTTCTATAAATAGATTATTGTTTCTCCCAATTCCTCCGTTCTCCGGCTTCCTCCAAACCTCCCACAACAAGCTCGTTACATGGCAGTGAAGGTCGAACTCACACGGGATCTTATTGTGGAAATTCTCCCGCCGGTCCTTGGTTCGATTCAAATTTGTATCAAAGCAATGGTATCTTCTGTTTTCCAATCCAGAATTCATCCGGATACACATGAAAACCAGGTCTTCTTTACATCCTTTCTTCGTTAATTATGTAGATGAATTTAGTTTCGGCGTTCCATACGACAATGGTGATGAAGATGGGATCATGGGATTCTAATTCAACCGGTTGAACCAAAGTTCCAAGTGCAGCAAAACCCGAGGTATATTACGACCTCGTAGATCACTGGAACGGCCTCTTGTGTAGTTGTGTGTCCTTTTTGTGTTCCAAGGAAATAATGAATTTGAGACGCGTTGTTGTTTGGAACCCATCAACAAAGAAACAAAAGAGACTTTGTGCCCCCGACCAACGCTCTTTGGAGAAGAAAGAGGAATATTTCGGGTTCGGTTACGATTCCACCGGAGATGATTACAAGGTCGTATCAGCCACAATCACAACTTTTGAAAACATACCAGCTAAAATCCAGTGCTTGGGGCTTAAGATGGATTCATGGGCAAAATTGCTCAAAATGACATACACTACTTATTTGATTGTGTCACATTCAGTTTATCATATGCAATGTCAATGGCTATATCTATTGGATTATCAATTAGAATATCAATATTTATTTAATGTGAATATAATAATATTAATATTCTAAAATAAATATTAATATTCTAGCGGATAATCCAATAGATATAGCCATTGACATTGCATATGATAAACTGAATGTGTCACAATTAGTTGTACAAAAGTAAGAACAAAAGCAATATGCTGGAGGGAAGGCTCTTGGTCTTGGAGATTAAATTGGAGACGCAATTTGCTGTCTTGGGAGATAGAACAAAAGCAAGAACTCGAGTGTCAACATTGTTGCCTACTTCAATTGTACAAGGAAAGACAAACACTTAGGTGTGAAGCCACAGCAATGAAGGCAAATACTCAGTGAAGTCGGGATACTTGGCTTTAATTAGATACATTTTTTTTTTTTTAACAGCAAATCAAACTATATTAAAATAAGTATAAGGAGTACTCAACCCTTAAACATTGATTATCCCATTATACACTAGTCAAAAATCATCCAAAATCAGTCATGTCTTACAAGCTAGTGTTTTAGTGCCCTTTTTTCCCATGGTAGTCTTTCAAACATGTAACAGGATTAATTAGATAGTCTGAGATATTAAAGGCATACTTGTCTTTTTTAGCTTTAATCCATAAAAAGGATCTTAATTCGATGAGTTCGAATATCTTCCCTGGATTAACCTCTTTGCCTTGGAATAGCCTTTGGTTTTGAGCCAGCCACACAGTCCAAACAACAGAGTTCCAAATGCAATCCCATCCTTCTCTGATGCATGGCTCTTTAGACCTTCTTCCAGCTTTAGATACATTAGTCCCAAAGGAGGACAACTCCTTCAAATTATTGTGGAACTCCAATGCGCTAAGTAAGACTAAAGCTTTCCTTTGGCAATTATATCTTGACAGGATTCCAACTAGATTAAACCTATGGAGAAAAGATGGATTTTGGAAAGCATAGAGCAGTGTGCTTGTGGGATTTGTGGATAGAATGTGGAAAGCTCTAGTAATTTATTCCTACATTGTGACATAATATATGCAATAAGGATGAAATGTTTATCACGGTGGGGGTTGGCTTTAGCTATACCATTGTGCTGTAACCAAGCCTTAAATTTACTATGCAATTTGGATGGAGCTAACAAGTCAAGCATTCGATGGAGGATTGTTTGGATTGCATGCATTTGGTCAATTTGGCTAGCATGGAATGAAAAAGTCTTTAAGGATGGTCAAATGGATGGTGAAAAATTATTTGAACTAGTACACCTGAGATCATTCCATTGGATTAAAGGGAAGTTGGATGAATGCTACTTCAGTTTCTATGAATGGTCTCGAAAGCCAAGACTATGTATGAAGTCAACAAAAAGGAAACATATGCTAGCTCAAAATCATGAAGGGATGGCCGGACCTGGTTCAAAAAAAAAATAGTTGTTCAAAAAAAATATTATATTTATATTATAATTAATTATATACATTTAAGTTAATCGATTTTATACTTAAAAATATTTTATTGTATAAATTTATTTATAAAACCTTTGTACATACAATAAATATAAGAAAACAATAAACATTTCTTCATATATTTTTTCTTTTTTTTTTCCGTTTCTAACATTATCAAAAAGAGACGAGCTGATGATAATAACGGAGCTGAGGGTATAGCATGTTTTGGTTTGGGCAGAAAGAGAGGAGGAATCTCTGAGTGAGGAATTATTAAGTGGACGGAGGTACGTTTCCCTGCATCCCTCTAAAGAATCTCTATTTACGATAGAGACTGATGATCATGTTAACTTTAATGCGTGGATGATGAAGGAAAATAGGGTGATTGGAACAAAATCTTGGATTAAATTCTTTGAAATTTCTATTAAGTATAACGTCTTCAACCTAGTGAGGTATCCTCCAATCGAGGAGGAACGTATCATTCCCATTTATTTCACAGGAAATGGCAACTGCCTGATGTTTGCTTATGAAAGACAAGATTTCATTTTATACAATAGTTTGAAACTCTAATTTTAATTTAAAATCAAAATTTTTAAATTAATAAATATCAATTTAATTAAGTTCTTATTAGTCCTAATCTTTTGTTATTATCTCCAATATATTTTATCCGCGTGGTTTGACCAATTTAAGACTTTGCTTGAAATGGATATAAAGTGGTGTAACTATGGTCTTTTTAATATTTTACCATCACAATAGTATTCTTGTTCAATAATTACTTTAAAGGAATGTTATACACAATTACAATTACTAAATTATAAAAAATTTTAATTAATAATTTAATCATAATAAATTATTACTTTTAATAAAATACTGCATGCAAAGGCATCGTGTGACTACAACGCCGAACGCAACCTCAACTCCTATTTGTACTAATGGGCCTGTTTGGCCCAGAAGTATCTCTCATTACAATGGCCCATTAACATATCTCACTGGGAAGTAAAGGCATCATGTACTAAAACGATAACGTTTTACTGACTCAATTAACGAAGAAAAAGCTGTTCGTTAGATTACATCATCACAGATTTCGAGACATACATGATCCGACGGTTAGGAACCGAATCCGATATATTCTTCTCATCTCTCCA